CCCCAAAACCCCAAAACCCCAAAACCCCTATAGGAGAGAGATGTATTGAATTAGAGAATTTTAGTAAAATCCACGGTTTGTTCTGGTGTCGAAATGATCGGTTCCACGGTAGTTTGACCGACTCGCTCCTTGTAAGCTTTCTTGATTGGCAAAATAATCATACTCCATAGGGCCGGAGGGAACTCCTCTAGGTCTCTTGTTTAATACATGTGGTGCATCGCGATCTCTATCGGCTCCATGTGCTTCTCTACTAAAATGCTTTGATCTTTGTTCCAGAATTGCTGCAACGCAGAGAATAATAGCAATCAGAAGAACAAACAATAGAAGTAAGCCAATGATCCAAGGCCAGAAGGAAGTGCCTTCTCCAGTTCCAGTGAACACATAATCACAACTACTTGAATATTCATTGAAGTTCTGTCCATTTTGAGCCACGGATACAGTGACAACCTCTCGATCCAAATCTTCTGGATTCTTCTGAATTGTTGGGGTTACACACTTGACTGTGGTTGAGTTAAGCAATACTCCTGGTGTTTGACCATACTTTCCAAACCTACAGAGGATTCCATAATCTGAGTACTGGGAGCCTTCAACTGGGATTGGTTCGATGAACTCATTATCTTGCCCTGAGAATAAGTATACATCCTTCATCTCACCAACTTCTGATTCTGTAGGAGTGCAGCCCGTGATAGCAGGCTCACCATAAAACCTGAACCGATGAGCACTTGTTGTCCAGGGATCATATTCCTCATTATTCAGTGCGATCGAGAATGGAACAGAGAAAGGCAATGAAGCTTGCTTTGGGACATCAAATCCAGCTGGAGATTGGCAGACCATCTTGTCATTTGTCAGAACTTTACCTGATGTAGTTGCAAAATTTCCTGGGACTCCGAACCTTCACTTTGGATCACTGGCTCCTTTGAACCCAGATCCTACAACTGTGATCTCTGTACCTCCTGTGATTGGGCCACTGTTCGGAGTGAGGTGGTGGATTCCATAAGGTGTATAGTAAGTATCCTTATTCACAGGTGTCCAACTAGCATTATTCAAAGAAATTTGTGCTGGCAAGGCTTGGTCTCCTCCATTGAGCGGTATCTCACTAATATGACATTCCATATTTTTTGAGTCGATGACAATAGCTTTACCGTATGAGCTTCCTACTTTGCAATAAGCTTCTGAAAGTTGGAAATCAGACCTGAAGTTATCTCCGTAAAAATGAATCTTTCCATGTCCAACATTAGGTCCTTGCTTTGGAAAAATGCTGCTGACCTTAGGCTGTTCATAATATTGGAAACCTCCAGTGAAAGAATGGTAATCATCACCATTAATCGTGATTTCAAAAGGGACGTTTCCAAAGAAATCTTTCCCTTGCTTAGCTGGTAAGATAGGGCAATAGATTTCATCCCATGAAATATGACTTGGCTGTGAGTCTTGGTTATCTAATCTGCACTTAATATTTCCGTCATCTTTGAAACCTTGTCCTTTGATTTGGATGTTGTCTCCATTTCCATCAGTAGGGCCAGATCTTGGACTAGCAGTAATAATGTTGTAGTATCTAAACTCATGCTCGCTATTGGTGTAGTCAATACCATTGAATGAGATATCTACGTTTACAACATCAACGTTTCCAAAACCTCCAGGAGAAGCACAAAGAATAGTGGTTTGGTTGAAATATCTCGCTGAAATATATTTTGGAGGTACATCCTTATTCAATGGCTTGAATCTACACAAGAACTCGTTTGGATTACTCAAATCAGAGAAATGGTCTCCAGTCAATCTGATTGTAGTTCCTCCTGTGTTTGGACCTGAGGTTGGATGAATTTCGTTTACCATTGAGTTTTTGTAATAATGGAAGAACTTTCCTGTGTCAATATAATCTTTGCCATTAAGGGAAATCATGACAGGATATTTCTTGTCAACACTGTCTCCTGGAGGAGCAGGGCAGATAATTCTTACTGTACTTTCAAATTTAGCCTTTACTACTTTATCTCCAATTTTACAATGTGGAATCACACCATATTCTGAGAATAATTGGAAGTCAGCTCCCTCAACTACAATTTCGGTTCCTCCCTCGATAGGTCCTCCATGAGGATGAATGCTTTTGATTTCTGGTTGCTTATAATAATAATATTCTGCGAATGAAGTAGTATAAGCATACTTAGCCAATTCAGGAGGAATATTAGATAGGACATCTTCCTTAGTACCAACCTCCAAATACACAGGTCCTCCATAAGTCTTAGCTGCGTGTGCAAGCTTTGGTGAATTTATTGTCAATGTATCATACACCTTCTTTTTTTCAATATCTCTCTGATGTACAGGAATGATTGTCTCTGAAGAACCTGAGAAGTCATTGGACTCATCATATTTTGAGCCTAAGAACCCTCGAATTTTGTCTTTATCTAGTATTTCTTGATCAATGACTCCCCATTTTACCATTACATCTTCGTCTGCTTTGAATCCACTTCCAAGCAATTGGACAGCTGATCCTCCGTCATTGGGACCACAGAGAGGAGCGACTCTGTAAATTTCCATTTTATCAGTAAAGGTAAAGTCAAAGCTCCCGTAGAAGTCATTTCCATTTGCAGTAACATCCATCTTTACTTGCTCAGAAATCCTACCAGCTAAAGGCCAGATTGGAGTATTACACTTGATGTGGGTTGGAGGAGCCCCTGTTTTGTACGGAAAACTTATAGCTTGTCCATGAGTGAAGATCTCTTCTCTCTGATCTTGAGACCTGAATCTGCATTTAAACTCAGCATTCTCCAAAAAGGTTTTCTGGTCGTTCACATCAAACTTAAAATTACTCTCAATCATCAATGGTGACTGTGTATTTGCAGGGGCAGTGTCTGGTACAACGTCTTTAAAAATTGGATCATCGTAGTAATGGATCTTAATGTGATTTTGAGTGAACTTGTCGTTAAATACAGAAACCTCTACATTCACTGGGTCAGTATCAGAAATTTGCTTTCCATTGCCATCAGTATACATCGTGAATGGAAGAGTTGGAGCAATAACTGTGTTCTTATCAACGAATCCAGCATCCACTACACATTTATTCTTATTATTTGTGCAAAAGTAGCTGTCAGCATCATTATCATAGAGAACTTTAAGGCCTCCGACTTCAGTTGAATCGACAAATCCAAATCCTTTAATTTCAATCTGGGTGGATCCAGACTTACTGACAAGTTTTGGGTTGACCCTCAGCACAAATGGGTCATAGTACCCAAAATGTATTTTATTATTCGAGTAATCTCTGCCATTCATAGAAACTTCTACATCAAGAACATCGGGCTGAGGATAGTTGGGAAGTGGACATTGAATCAGGTTCGAGGATTTCCTCTGACCCTTTACAATCACTGAGTTTGGATCAGTGCCAAATTTACATTTGACATCGTTACAATTGTTATTAGGGCAATCAAAGTTGTTTCCGTGGACATCAATAACTACTTTTTCAGATTGACGAACCTCTCCAAATTCAGGATCAATGTGAGAAATGTAAGGAGAAGGCAAGTACTTGAAAGAGTAACCTTTTTCTTTTTGATACAGTTCATAAAACTGGTGGTTATTGAGGGAAATTGAAATAATTCCTTGAGTTCCAGCAGGAGCTGGAGGAGCTTTCCATCTAATCTCCTCATCTTCTACATATTCAGCTTTAGTAGTCTTTCCAAGAGGGTTTCTTGTTCCTCTTTCGAGCATTCTGACATATACAGGAGTTTTTATAAAGGTCCCGTTCTCATATTTAGTTGGCTGGAAGCCTCTTCCTCTAATCAATATCTCACTTCCTCCATTAGATAGGCCTTCATCTGGGCTGAAGTCATAAATTGTTGGGTTCTCGTAATAATGGAAAGTATTCTCGGGATCAGTGAAATGAAGTGTCTTATCTTTAGTGAATTGTTGCCCATTGAGCCCCACTGCCACCACAACCGCATGAGGGTTATTCACTGGAGGAGACTTCACAACGATTTCGTTTGGTTTCACTGATGATGGGATTGCATAAATATTTCCAAACCTAACAGTGATGTTGCAAGAATCTCTATTGAACCCATATCCACCAATTTTTAATTGAGTTCCTCCTTGGATTGGACCAAGATTTGGATCAACAGAAATTATTTCTGGTTCTTTATAGTAACTAAATCTCTGAGGAGGTCCTCCGTACAAAGTTCCGTCCAAGGTAATTTCCAAGTAGTAGTACTTAGGCCCAGTATCATCTGATTTGTACCATTTGGTAGCAGGTGGGGAATCACATTTGATAATATCATGCTCCATGACAGTGGCATTCATATGAACAGTCCTATTAAACACTCAATGAACGCTTCCTAGTCCTAGGTTGATGAAGTTCTTTCCATAAACAGTTATTTGAGTATACCCTGACTCTGGACCACAAGTTGGCTCGATCCTTGAAACAGAAGGCTGATTGTAGTACAAGAACTTAGATTGGCCAGATGACCAAAGATCTTCACTAAAAGCAATACTCACAGGCACGTATTCTGGCTTATTATTTGGTGGTGTAATACAGCTTACCTTGTGAGAGGAAATATAAGTACCGTTCGTAATATGATCACCGAATTTGCATCTAAATGGAACTCCTTCTTTGAAGTTTGTTCCAATCAAAGTTACATTAGTTCCTCCTTTTGTGGGCCCTTGTCTCGGTTCCATATCAAAGACATAAGGAGGTTTGTAATAGTTATAAATCTGCCCGTCATCAGTGAACTGCTGGTTGTTCAAAGTAACTTCAATTCTAGACTGACGGTTTACATAAGAAGGTGGAGCAGCTCAGCTTATCTTAGTTGACTCATAAACTGTAGCTGGCATCAAAGTAAGCCCTTCAAATTTACAAAAAGTATCGTTGTGATTATTGATTGAGTACAGATGGAAAGGATCGAAGTTGTTTCCGTGAATTATTATTTCATTCCCTCCATCATCTGGACCTCTAGTTGGGGAAATACTCTGGATCGAAGGACGATTATAGTACCAAAAATCAATATTCTCCTTTGTATTCTGTTGGGCATTGAGTGTCACAACAAATGGAATACCTTTCTCGACAACGTCTGAGGTAGGTGAAAAGCAATACATATAATTTGAATTCACAAACACGGCTGGGACAGTAATGGATCCAAAACCACATCGAGTGAATTCTTCAAAGTTCAAAAAGTTCTCTCCCCAGACATCGACTCTTGTGCCTCCGTCTTTGATACCATATCTTGGATAAATTGAATATACTTTTGGATCTTGATAATATCTATATCCAACAGAGTTGATTACATCTGAGAAATCTCCCACCAAAGAAATTGTAAATGGCACAATTTCTGATTTGAATCCAGGAGGTGCATTCTCTCACTGCAAACACGTGTCCGTTCTCGCAGATGTAGGAGGTTCCATTTCCCAGACTTTACTAGGCTCAGGGGTACATTTGACATAACTTGCTTCTACGATTTTATCATTCCTTCCAAATTTACACATTGGAGCTTTATATTTCGACTCAAGCATTCCTAGTCCGCTTGCTCTTACTATAACCCTGGTGTTACCTGATAAGGGACCAGCACTAGGTTCAATTCCCAGTAGCTCAATCTTGATAGGATCATCTGCTACAGTCAGAGCGAATATCACCGCCAGCGCTAAAAATAGCTTCATTTCTAATTTAAATCCTAAATTTAAAAATTATGAATAAAAAAGGGGTTTTGGGGTTTTGGGGTTTTGGGGTTTTGGGG